GAACGCTGCTCCCTTGTTTCAAGAATAAGGACCACTGGTCCATATTCTTAGAATTTTGTCAGAAAATGACCGAATATGGGAATTTTGAGAAAAACCTGATACAGCACAGTGCACAGTCCAGCACACTTCAGATTGAATAGGAATCCATTTTTGTTTGATCTGATATCCAAAACTACAGGGAGGTTGAGCGTTAAGCTAGCCCTCCAGTGGGATATTTTGTCGGAAAATGACCGAATATGAAAATTTTCAGAAAAACCTGATACAGCCTAGTTCAGCACACTTCCGATTGCATGGGAATCCATTTTTGTTTGATCCGATTTCCAAGATTTTGGGGGGCTGAGTGAAAAGTTAGCCCCTGATCTTGTTTTTCCTATAACTTTGGCATCGGAACGGCGCAGTTCAAAATATCATTGGCACAGTAAAGCACACTTCGAGCACTGTAAGTAGGTACTTGCACTTTTGTAAGAAAATTCGAATGTGGGGGGCTAACTTGACGGAGCCGCGATAACCAACCATAATTTATGAAAACTATTATTGTGAAAAATTCTCCTCCCCCAAAGCAAAAAGTACCTCATGGGGGACGGCAAAACAAGCTCTTGCACGAGGGCGGCCAAAGGGCTAGAACCCGCCCTGCTGACTCTGAAGTATATATAGGAGCAGCGGAATGGCATTTGATATATTTTTCAAGTTTTATTAAAAATATTCGTATGATTGGTTGGTTATTCAGATTCGTACAAACTGACGATAGGTACTTGGCGGCAATACAAAACATTAAGGAATCGAGTCAATATTCTGTGAGAAATGAAAAGAGAGTCTTTTCGGAATCCAAGAAAATTTTGGCATACAATAAAATACCTTTTAACTTCAAATTCTCATTCTTCAGACTGTTTGCAGGTGGGTAGTCCAGAGGAATTTTTATTTTTTTTAAAATTATTATTATTATTACAATGTGAGACATCTAGAGGATAAACGCGTTGGTGACCTATCCGAAGAAATGAACCGAGCGGAAATTTTCGTTTTGCGAACTGTAAAAAGAGAAAGTTTTTCTAAAAATACTAGTGGTAAGATGCATTTACCAATTTTGTGTTTGTAAGAGCAGTTCCCAGTACACTGTCATATGACGTTATTCAAGAAGCTTATAGGTAATGAAATATTTAAAAATTTTGGGAATCCAAGAAGAGATATTTGTGATGCTGGGTCAGCGTTTACTTCTTCAGAATTCTCCCAATTTACCCAAGAAAAAGGAATAAGACTATTCAATACTGCTGTAGAAATGCTAAGAGGTAGGTATAACGGTCAAGTCGAGAGAGCTAATAAAACGACTCCCTTGCTACATTGGGGGCTGATATTGATGCCAAAAACTGGGATCACAATTTAACTGCTGCTTAACGAGGTTTAAATAGTGCTAGATATAAAATCGCAGAAACCGCCCCTGCTACGGTACTGTTTGGTACAAAACCGTTTAGGAAGAACGGCAGGGCAGGATATGATGTAACTGTTGTGACTTACATAGTTTACCAAGAGTTTATTTAGTTTTCCATCATCTTCTAGCTTATCATTGAATGATATGAAATTGTTGAAAGTTGCTTTCTACTGAGTCCACTCTTCAGCAGCTCTTGGGGAGTTTTGATTACCGTCGAATCGTTCTTAAGAGTTTATCCATATTATTTAATAGATTGTAATGATGTACTGAATTACCTTTAGAAATTAGGCTTAAATAGGTAAACAATTATACATGTCATTCAAAAATGAGGAACAACTAATGACAATCGCAAAGACATGATAATTAATGGTAAACAAAACTATATAGTCCCCAGTACATCGACCCTAAAATTTTGTAACTCATGTACACGCCAAACTTCCTGAGCGGCTTTATAACACCAAGTCGGACAATATTTTTCATATCTCCACCCTGGGCGATGGGACATTGCCGCGCTAGCTCTTCGTGAAGTTGTCGTTCTGACGTCCCTAAGGAAGTTGATACATGTACGTGTAGTTTCAATGCCAATCGACTGTTTTTTATATTACATTAACGATATCACATTTGTCGGACAAAAACCATGTGGCTTTGGTGAAGTTCCGATGCCCTCAACATGTCGCTGTGGCGTCCCTGAGGAAGTTGATACATGTACGCGTGGTTTTGATGCCAATCGACTGTTTTCTATGTTACATTATTGATATCACATAGGTCGGACAAAAATCACGTGGCTCTGGGGGGGTCCGACGCCCCCAACATGCCGCTGTGGCGTCCCTAAGGAAGTTGATACATGTATGTCCGACAAAAATAATTATGAATAACAATGTAATTTTAAAACATGTGTAGTAAATGTCGGACAAATAAAATGAGTATTAAAGTCAGTCGGACAACAAAAGTCCTATTGATCAATTTCTGCCGAAATTCAGGATCTTCACTCCTGAGATTGCACAAAAAACACGACTGAATATCCATTCTTTCTCACACGCGTGGTTTTGAATGACCGCGTTTACTAAATAATTTCCGTAAATACTCGGAGAACTATCAAAAAAACAGATCAGGGAATATGACACAGGGCCCCACAGGTATTTGACAAAGTAGGTAAATAATAAACTGATTAATATGCACGTTGCGTTAAGGCAAACTTATTTTAATTTTTTCATTGATTGTCTCAAATTTCTTGTCCGACAAATGTGATATCGTTAATGTCATGTAAAAAACTGTCGATTGGTATTAAAAACATACGTACATGTATCAACTTCCTTAGGGACGCCACAGCGACATGTTGAGAGCGTCGGAGCCCCCCGAAGCCACGTGATTTGTGTCCGACATATATGATATCGGTAATGTAATACAAAAAACCGTCGATTGGCATTAAATCTACACGTACATGTATCAACTTCCTCAGGGACGCCACAGCGACATGTTGAGGGTGTCGGACCTTCTCCAAAGCCACATGGTTTTTGTCCGACAAATGTGATATCATTAATGTAATGTAAAAAACAGTCGATTGGCATTGAAACCACACGTACATGTATCAACTTCCTTAGGGACGTCAGAACGACAACTTCACGAAGAGCTAGCGCAGCAATGTGCCATCGCCCAGGGTGGAGACATGAAAAATATTGTCCAGTTGGGCGTGTACATGAGTTACAAAATTTTAAGGTCGATGTACTGGGGACTAATATATTTTCAGGGGAAGATCTGAATGCAAATACAGTTGTTTTGACACGACTTTAATACATAACAAGAATATTATGTGCCTAATTCATGGCCAGATCACTACCTTCACTTCTAGTCAAATTTATTGCTATGGAAGGAATCTGAATAATCACTTTTTTCGAGTTAAAATCGCTTGAAATACAAACTATGTATATGGTTAAAAAATCTATCAAATTACATTTTTTATTGGCATATGTACTCGACAACCCAATTTGTTAATGCTTAATTTGCGCAACATAGAATATATACCTAGGTACAGAAAGATATCAAAACAACTCTACCATATACCATATGGTAATAAAGGAAGATCACAACATGTGGAATCTTGACAACTCGGTGAACTTATCGTACATTTTCAATATTTTAATATTTTCTTTATTTTTGTGTACAGGGTCATTTTTTATATTTTCCCACCCCCCTTAACTTTTTTGTGCCACTGTGTATAAAAAAAATTTAAATAGGAAAGTTGTAGTGCTTGCTTGAAAAATAGTTCTCAGAAAACATAGTTTATTTGTTCATTTTTTAAACTTTTTGCAACACACAGGGTGTTGTAAAAAGTTTAAAAAACCAAAAAAAATAATTTTTTTTGAATGGGACACCCTGTACATATTATGACATTTCTGCATTCTTCGGAAAATTCTAGACATATTTCATGTATAATGTCATATACCTATCTTCAACTGTTTCAGAAATAATGACAGTAGAAAATTGATTTTTTTGCATCTTTGACAGACTGTAAAACCTAAACGGTTGATTTTACAGCAAAACCGATCATACATTCTTATCTTAGTTTTTCATAAACTATCATTTGACACCAACTTTGGAATTAATCCATGATTGAAAATTCCAATTAAATTCAAAGTTGGTGTCAAATGCTAGCTTATGAAAAGCTGTAAACAAGAATGTAAAATCGGTTTTGCTATAAAATTAACAGTTTAGGTTTTACAGCATATCAAAGTTGCAAAAAAGTCAATTTTCTACTGTCATTATTTCCGAAACAGTTGAAGATAGGTATATGACATTCTTCATGAAATATGTCTAGAATTTCCGGCAGAATCCAGAAATGTCATAATATACAGGGTGTCCCGAGGGGTGTCCCATTTAAAAAAAGATTTTTTTTTATTTTTCAAACTTTTTGCAACACCCTGTATGAACAAAACTATGTTTTCTGAGAACTATTTTTCAAGCACTACACCTTTCATATTTACATTTTTTTTATACACAGTGGCACAAAAAAGTTAAGAGGGGTAGGAAAATATAAAAAATGACCCTGTACATTTACGTATTATACTTCAATTCTTACCCTGTTTTTGACTCTTTTTTTGTGTGTTTGTATTCATAATGCTCTCAACCAAAAGGAAACAGAGTATAGCAAGGAAAGAATGCAAATAGGGATTTTATAATTGAGTTTAGCAATATGGTGCTGACCGCACAAAAATGTTGAGGCTTTGGTTAAACTTTATATGCACTGAACGCTTTTCTATTTTTGCCTTTAGTTTTGCTAACATATAAATTGTCAATAGTAAGCATATTAGTTATTTACATTACAAGTGCGTTTATGAACATGATTACAATAATAATGAGTGTGAAAGATTAGAACGATGAGGTAATAGACTGAGTCGTTCTAATCACACAGGTTTAGTAGTAATGTTTAAACGCACATGTGATGTACGTTTTATCTACAATAACACCACTAGTTGTGTTATGAGTTTCATAACACAACTCAAATACTAGAAAAATGGTTAGGTAAAAACGTCATAACCAAACACTTGTAGATAAAAATCATTACACGCAATAAAATATTTACAATTTATTATCATTACAAGAAAACTGCCCCTATTTATTCTCCTGCCTTCTGATCACTGTTTGCCGCAACTACAGGTTTCTCGAGATTTGGTTCTGCAGCTACAATTTTTGCAGCAATCTCCGCATACTTCCTAGTCCTGTAGGCCTTTTTTGCTTCATCCAATAAAATATTGTGTATTAAATTTTTATTGGAAGTTGTGTCCGGTAGTAGTGATGGATATGGGTTGCCTCTGAGTTCTAGGATGGCTTTTTTATCTTCTGGGCCTAAATAAAAGTTACTGTTTATGTATAAATAATTGTATTAATTTGTGGTTTTAACCTGGATAAGGTCTTGGTGCTGTTAAAAGTCTTGTACAAGCAATATTGTAGTGTTCATATCTGGGGGCAAGGACTTTGAATAGTTTGTGAACAAGTTGTTTTTCAACTAGCCAATAATCAGCCATTTCCATTGTAGATTTATGGCAATCTCCATATCGAATGGCATCAGAAATTAACTATAAACACCAAATATTAATGTTAGGAAAATAATATGCTTATTAGGTACTTACTCTTTCAGCATACATCCTTGCCTCGTGAGCTCTAGGAAAATTCAGTTCGATTCTTTCGTGTTTTACCAAAGCGGTGACGGTTTTTCTCATTTTGTTCAGTCTTTCCTCGGGTCCTTTGGGATTTCTGAATTTCCTAAGTCTAGTCGGGGCTTTGATTCTCAACTGAGATACAAGTTTTGAGACTTCGGCCTGATTCATCTTAACTTAATTGGTTTTCAAATCAATTTTTACCACCATAAACAAAATACAGCACACACAAGCAAAAAGTGTGGTTAGATCAATCTGCTATCAGCTGTTAGTGTCGGGTACGTTCGAAAAAACACAATTTGTGGCAACAAAATAATGTTCAAGAATTCGCTTGAGGTATAATTATTTACGGAAGGGTAGAAGGGCCAACTTGTAAATTTTTTTCCCGTATCAAATTCCGACTTATGCCTAAGTCCAAGGTTCCTGAAGTTAATAGGTTGTCTGGTAATGGGTTGACGCATCTGGGGTGCCTCATGGAGATTTGCATTATGTTTTAGGCATACAGATGGACGCCATAAAAGTTATCAGGCAACCTCCTCATCCTTACATCTCGGAATTCTGACTTTATTATCGGAATATTGGATAGGCATACCGTCATCATTCGATTAACCCCCATCGTTACTTGGTTTATTTTCCGGTTGGGAAGAAAAAAACTTCTCATAGTTTATTTGTTACTCATTTGTAAATGTAGGTACTATGCAAATTTATTTTTAATTTGTGTATTCATATAATAAAACTGAGTTTTCGAAAATAAATAATTTTTATGATTTGTAAATAGTTATTAAGGTTACAAGGCCGATAAATAGCAAATAACGGCCGGCCTGAAGTTTGTTATCCGAGGCGATGGCGATATAGCTGAGGACCATAATCAACCTAAACTGTTGAATTTGCAGTTATCGACCGTGATTCGTTTTAGATTTTTCTATTATATTTTCTGTCTTAAATAAATTTAATAAATATTTTAATTTGTCATCTATTAATTCTTATTCAATTTTGCCTTCTGTATCTGTAAGTTTGGTAGAGTGGTATGCACAGCATTTAGGCCACATTAGGCCCATTGTGCGCCTCCACAAGAGGAGACCTCATCCTTAGCTCGTGATCCAGCCTAGCGATTCAACGTAGGCGATGACGTCGCCGAGGGCGATGCCTCTGATCTCTTCTAGTGATTGGTACGATTAGCTTAATCTGGTTCTGCGTATTGGCGAAAGAGCAGTGCAGTCACAGAGAATGTGCTGTATGGTTTCGACGGATCAAGAATTAACGAAGTTCCATGGATAGAAAGCAGGCATACTAGAGGTAAAAGGGCGTTTATTTGTCAGGCATAGAGCTGTTAAGCATGGTAGATAGTTCGAATGATGCGATGACCAAGAACATTGGATCCATTTGCAAAGACACGATACGGAATGGCAACTGCTGATATAGTAGCACTGTGAAGAAAACCAATATTCCGAGATCTCAATAATGAGAATAGGCCTCTCTTGGCCAGCTATTGATAAGCTAGGATTTATTCTGGAATTTCGAGACTTATCTACAGTGTGCCCCGCTTAAAGGGCCGGGGTGTGCGCCAAAAATTAAAGTTTTAGTGTAAAAAAATCTAAGAATAACTGTACAAACCTCGTTATTCTACGATAAACCATCGCTGAGATATACCGCTTTAAAGTGTGTAAAGCTCTCTTGACGTCACTGAGAGTTTCGTTCAGCCGCGCTCCGCATTGGTAATTTGAAAGTTCCAGGCACGCGTGAGTGGTTTTTGTTTAGATTATTGCAGGTGACACGGGAAAATAGTTATTTATACACCAAGTGAGTTAAATTAATGTTTATTCAAGAGAAGAAAGTTTAACCCACGAGCTCTAGCGAGTGGGTTAATTTTCTTCGAATGAATAAACATTTTAACTCACGTGATTTATACAAAATTTTATCCCATTTTGATGGATATTTAAAAAATAAGGTACTTAATAGAAATCAAATTATAAAAAGAATTCATTTAGTAGTTATGAAAGCGCTAATTATTGAAATTAGGCATTCCAGGTCACGTGACTTTTGACAGGTCCGCTGGGGGGCAAACAATAAGTTTTAAGTTGTTTTTGTGGTAGAATGGCTAACATTGACTATTATTCATCGTTAGCTAGTGATGTGAAATGTCGGTATGACCAAAAAATACAAATAATTGCCAATATAGATCCTTATAAACTTCTACCTAATGAGTTTACTTTAAGTATCAATGAGTTGCCAGAGGTTTCAATTTTGGATTTATCCGAATATTTGACCCACACCCACAGATACTACACAGGCTTGCAGTTGAAGGCGTATATAAAGGGTTATTCAAGTTCTGCTGGACTACCTAAAAGGTATTAAAAGTAAATATTACTTGTAGAAACAAACCAATTTTTCAATATAAATGTGTTTTTGTATTTTAACAAGACAGTCATAATACCATTAACAAAATGTTTTGAGCAAATACGAGCATTTTTCAGAAACGATTCAGTTAAATCTCTCCTTTTGAGGCATTTAATCCACAGATTTCGTCGTTCCTTTTTTAGCTCGTTTAGACGATTCCCTAGATCTCTTAATGCTGCTGGGATCCTGAAAAACCTTTCTTTATCTCTTTCCGCTCTACTAGAGCACCTAACAACGCAGCAAAAAGAAGGCATCTTCACAAAATAGAATGAAAATTCTTGGTTTAACATTGAATCAGGTTATGTTTGGCTTTTGTGTGCCACCCAAACTAATATGGCGGATCGGTTGTGACCAATGAACTATAACCAAAAACTGGAATGCTAACACATAAGGACGAACTTGAAGCCTAGTGCGGCTGCTGCGGAGGGGATACCTGTTTTTGTCGCACTCATTATGTTAAATGGCGAAAATTGCTTCCAACACGTATTCCAATTGATGAAACCTGTGAAGGGAAATATGACAAAACTTTCGAAAACGTCATATGTCAGCGAGCAACAGAAAAAAACAACATTCCCCCTTGTGGCATCTGTCTTTCATGGCTTCATTTTTTTGGCAGATATGGCAATGTGTGCGCATTCCAGTTTTTAGCTATAGTTCATTGGTTGTGACATTAACCTGGAATGCCTAATAGACCTTTTTAAGGTCCACAACGCGCTTGCGCGTCAAATAAGTGGGGTTATGTTGACTGTTTGTTTTGCGGTCCAAAAAGCATAGCAAGTATTATAAAAAAGTTGTAATTAATACCTTTTCCAATTTAAAATGGCCCAAATGTCTTTTAAAAACGTTAAATTATCAGCAGCAGATGTGTCGGATGCAATTTTACGTAATGATATTGTAGAGAAAAATAGCGTATTGGAACTTAAAAGGAATTTACGTTGAAGACATGGCCAGGGAAAGCGGTAAAAAAATTAATCCCTCGGAATATCCGAGTCTTTCAACTCTGCTGTCACTATTACACTTTCCAAAAACACAATATTTGTGTGCCCCATCGCTTTTACTAATTTTTAAATAGGTTTTTCCAATATTTTCCCATGCATAAACCTGTAACATAGACCGCAAAACAATAATCAGCTGATCGAAGAAATGACAGTGAAATTGTGCGATGTTGCCGGTTTGTACAAATTGCAGCGCTTTAAGTTTAAAAAAAAAAACTTTACAAAATGTCCATCAATATATCTTTTCAATAAATAGCTTGAGTCTTTGACTTTGATCAAATATAAGGTTAATTAATAATAAAGAATTTGAATCTCAGTTCTAATGAAATCGAAATTATTCATGATTCTTTCCTGTATAGCGTGATAGAAACCGCGACACTTGGCAACAATGTTTTGCGCATGCGCAACAGAATTATTCTACTTTGAAAAGGTCTATTGGTAGTTGCTAAGGTATAACTAGTTATTTTGTTTGTTTGTATTTGTAGCAGATTTTTATACTGGCAGAGTGACTTAAAAGACCGAGAGTGAGTTAAAAATATTTTAAGTCACTCAGGTGATAAACGTCTACTTACCTTTGTCATTATGCGTTCAATAATGTCATTTTTAAACGTCAAAATGGGATAAAAATATGTTAATTCAATTTATTCCACTTTCTCGTGCGTCGCTTGAGCTTTCGTGACGTCATAGGGTGAGATGCGGTACCTACCTTCATAGAGCCATATCTTCGGTATTATTTGTCATAGAGGGGTGCGGTTTTCACTGTTATTCTTAGATTTTTTCTCTCTTTTTTTTTGAGATGAAGTTGTTTTTTTGGCGCACACCCCCTTTAAGGACTGTCCACCCTTCTAAATTTTTAATTTTTCAACCGATTCAATTATTTTTTTTTTTGGCTTATAGTTAGTCGAATTTGGCACTTATAAGGCTCATAATTTTATTTATGCGGCTGTACTGGTGTACAGGGTGTCCACATTTATAGGCTCAAATTTCGATAAGTACTATTAGGGATTTTTTTAGAAAAAATCTTATAGCAGATTCTTGTTTAGAATGGTGTAAAATCCGAATGTACCAATTTTTGTTTCAATATGATACAGGGTGAAAACAACAAATTTTCAAAATTTAATGGACCAAACCGGAAAAATGTCATATTTTGAGGCCTTGATACAACATAGTTTTAGAACATCCTTGACCAAAACTTGTAGTAAGCTTGTCTCAAAATATAACATTTTTGCGGTTCGATTTATTAAATTGTGAAAATTTGTTGTCATCACCCTGTATCGTATTGAAATAAAAATTAGTACATTTGGGTTTTAGACTATTCTAAACAAGAATCTTTCCATCAGATTTTTTTTTCAAAAATTCTGTTCGAATTATCTATCTCACATTGAATATTTTACACTTATTATTTTTCATTCTAGTCGTTTCCAGTCAAATTTTATTATTTTTCATTCTAGTCGTTTCCAGTCAAATTTTTTTTTGCCCAACAACACATAAAAACCGTTGACCTAAATTCCTGAATATCTTCTCGAATATTTTTGTAAGCAAAAAACCTTCGCTTATCTTGTCTGGTATTTTCTAGATTTACTGGGGGAACCAATCAGAAAGCCGCACCTTATCTCTTCTTGTTTAGGTTCTAACCTGTGAAAGGGAAAAAGGGGTCAGTCAGTCCTAGTCCACTCAAGGGACATCGCACGCAATTTTTCTCTGTAATTTCTCTCCTCTCATTACTTTGAAACAACTCGATTATATCTCCAACCCTAGTGTAATAGAAACTGTGTAGATACCTATTGTAAATAGTAAAATAGTAACATTTAGTCTTAGTTAAAGTGCAAAGTGCCGATTTGCCGACCCTTGTCT